ACAGAAAGAACTTGAGCTAGTGTCAGGAACAGAAAACACATTTCCTACAAATAATGAGTTATGTGTCTACATTAGAAGGAACAAAAACCAAGGAGGTAAGGCACCTGAATAAGAGAAGGCTTGCCATGAATTTGTCTCGGCTCTAGGTACTTAGAAATTTACAGGTAATGAGACATCTATCCCTGGTACTGATATTTACAATGAATTATCTATAACTTTGAGAAAAGGGACTCGAACATGCACCAAACATCTGATACAGGACTATATCTCATTTGGTAAGTTGTCTTCATAACATCATGCCTTTGTGTACAGGCTAGACAGTAATTTACCAGAGCCAAAGTCTATTCATGAAGCTCTGGAAATACTGGAATGGAAAGCTACCATCCAAGAAGAGATTAGAGCACTTGAGAAAAATGGGACATGGGAATTAAACTGATCTGCCCATAGGAAAGCGTCAAGTTGGATGCAAGTGGGTTTTTACAACAAAATACAATCCTAATGGGAGTATATATCGATATAAGGCTCGCCTAGTAGCAAAAGTCTTTACTCAATCTTATGCGATAAACTATCAAGAAACATTTGCTCCAGTAGCCAAGCATAATACAATCCGGGTATTACTGTCACTTGCTTCTAACCTTGATTGGCCACTCTTTTCAGCTAGATGTAAAGAATGCATATCTGAATGGTGACCTAGAAGAAGAAGTATACATGGATATCCCACCAGAATTTGAACTAATTGATGGTCCTTAAAAAGTATACAGGCTCAAAAAGTCACTATATGGTCTGAAACAATCTCCAAAAGCTTGGTTTGACAAGTTCACAAAAGCAGTAAAACAAGAAGGATATGGAAAATGTCAATCAGATCATACACTTTTTGTTAAACACTACATCTCAGGTAAAAAAACTATCTTGATTGTCTATGTAGATGACATTATTTTGATAGGAGATCACATCGAGAAAATTCAAAGACTTAAAGAATTCCTAACTAAAGAGTTTGAAATTAAAGATCTTGGAATGATGAAATACTTTCTTAGTACGGAAGTAGCCCGGTCAAAAAGGAGAATTTCAGTATCACAACGAAAATATAAGAGACCGGAATGATCGGAAGTAAACCTGCTGACACATCTATGGATCCAACCGTAAAACTTGGATTCAACATCGGTGATTAAAAGATTGATAAAGAAAGGTACCAAAGACTGGTGGGCAAACTCATCTATTTAGCACACACCAAACTTGACATCAGTTTTGCAGTTAGTACAGTGAATCAATTCATGAATCAACCAACTGAGAAGCACATGACGGCTGTATATCGAATTCTGGGGTACTTAAAAATGACTCCAGGTTAAGGATTGTTCTTTTAGAAAACAGAAAAAATGGATATTAAAATCTTCACTGATGCTGATTGGGTAGGATTAGTAACTGACATAAGATTTACATCAGGATACTGTACCTATGTCTGGGGTAATCTAGTAACTTGGCACAGTAAAAAAGGGTCTGTTGTATCTCGTAGCAGTGCAGAATCTGAATTCCGAACACTTACTCATGGAATATGTGAACCGAAAATTTATGATGGTACCTCTATGAAAGTTTGGTGTGATAACCAATCAATCATTAGCATGGCCAAGAATCCAATTCATCATGACCGAACTAAGTATGTAGAAATCGATCGACACTTTATCAAGGAAAAATTAGAAGATGGAACTATTACCCTTATGCATATCTCAACAAATCAACAGGTTGCAGACATTCTAACAAAAGCTCTACCAAGAGGAGTTTTTGATAACATTAGATCCAATCTAGATTTACTTAACATCTATGTAAACTAGATTGAGGGAAAGTGTAGAAAATATAAGAAAATAAATTTGTTTCTTTTCTGTTTTGCCTAGTGGAGAGAATCTCAGAATGGTTATAACCATTTCTGCAATTCCTTCTCCCTGTAAATTTGTTAGGAAGTTGTTATTTTTATTGCTTTATTTTTTATAAATTGTAGCACCACCAAGAATGAAATTAAGACAAGTAGAAGAGGATTTTCCATTCTTCAAACCTTCAGGTACCCTAATGCTGGTGTTTCTCATCATGTTTCTCATCAACTTTATATTGGTAATAGTACAGGTTTGCAAGTTTCTCACTTTGGTTTTTCCTTTATTCCTTGCCCGCGTAGATCTCTAAAGCTAAACAATATTATCCATGTTCACAGCTTATAAAAACTTTTATGTCTAGTAAATAATTTGCCAATAATAATGGTACGTTATGGGAGTTTCATTCAAACTAGTTTCATATTCGTGATCAAGCCACCAGCAGAATTCTACCTCAAGGTTTGACTAAAGAAGACTTGAACAAACTCACTAGCAAGACTCTCCTCATGCCCTCATTAGTGAAAGAGACTATATGGCAAAATGGCATATTTGACTTGGTCACTTTTCACCTATCCTTAAGTTGATCATGTCCAAGTTTCAATTACCATCTAGGAAAATATCCTCTCTGCCACATGTATGTTCATCATGTACATTCAGCGAACAGAGTCAAGGTCATCTTTCTGCTACTCAAAATATATCATCAGAAGAATTAGAACTGGTTCACTTAGATGTATGGGGACTATCTCTTCTAAGTTCCAGTCATGTTTGTAAACATTTCCTTTTATGTGTCGATGATTTTTCTAAATTTACGTGGATTTTTCTGCCTTAAATTTAAAAGTGAGGTGGCTTCAGTTACAGATGGTTCTATTTCAAAGCTTGAGAGACAATTTCATAATAAACTTCTTAAGGTTCAAACTGATGGTGGTGCTGAATTTCAAATCTTGAAATCCTACCTTCACTGCGTAGGGATTGTTCACCCACATACTGAACAAAATGAAAATGTTGAACGGAAAATTAGACATCCCATTGATTGCATTAGTTTGTGCATCAGATATTTAATTCAGTGTTATCGGAGATTCATAAAGGTGGAAGGGAATTCTTTGTACATCATTAGGTCTAAGTTTGGTGTTGAAATTTTGGGCAGACAGTCAAGACTTCTACAGATCCACACAGTGCAAGCCTTTGGAAGAATATCACTACTAGTTGGGAGACACTGTCCCTCCTTTAAGGTGAGGGGTCTTTTGGGAAGAGAGTGTAATTTCGGCATGAATTGATGTGATGAGGGTTTCTCAAGCAATCCTTTCTCACAATTTTATCTTAGGCTCGGAATAAAGATGCAGCAAGCAGGGAATCTATTTTTGATGTCTTCAAGGCAAGAGATTTTGAACGTGGTAACAGCAGAAACTCAATGATTTGCAATGTGGAGGAACTGGATAGTCTCCTCTACCATCTTTTGAAGTGCAGTCTCTCATCTTCAAAAGATGATGTGCCTCTTTGCAACTTGACTCCCAAGGGGTCCTTCGTGGCATTCTATAATTTATCTCTCTTCCTAAACTCCTCACTTGGACTCATCTAGTTTCCCTTGAAGGCTATATGGAAGTTGAAGTTTCAGCCCAGGATTGCCTCTTTCATGTGGGAGGTAGCCAATGATAGAATATTCAGGATCAACAATCTCAGAAAGAAGAGAAGCTTTTGGTTAACAGTTATCACTTATGCAATCGTGATGAAGAATCCCCACTTCACCTTTTGCTACATTGTCAGTTTTCCTATCGCCTGTGGTATACTACCATTGGGTTCTCGGGGCTGAGTTGGGTTATGGCAGGCTCAATGGTCTATGAATTTTGGGCTTGTCAAGGTATTTGTGGTGCTAAGAGAAGGAAGTTAGTTTCTTTAATCCCCTTGGCTACCATGAGGGTGATTAGGAAAGGACTAATAGAGCTTTCAATGATCTCACCCCTTTTGGTAGGATGAAAGACTTATGGTCCCCAAACCCAGAAAATTTTGTTGAGGGGCAACCCTTTTGTTTTTTTGAAGATTAAGGGGACATTGTTGACATCTTAGTTAATATGTAATTGTAGATTTTTTACATGGGTGTACCCCCTTGGTAACTTGTAAATACGATCATTTTCTTCTTTTAAAAAACTCCATTAGCTACTTCAGACCAACCACCAAGTTTTATTTATTAATTTTTCTTGAGTTGAAATAACACCAAGTAGTTGAAGTTGTTTAGAAGTAGCAAAGGATGAAGAACTAATGGCAGTATTATGAGAAGAAAATGACTCTAAAAAGTGTGGCTGATGGCAATTAAAGGGTGACCATATTCTACAGTTCAAGGTGACTGCATAGTTTGCACACAGCTGCATGAAAGAAGCAATTCTTTCTGCGAAAATATAAAACACAATAAATCATTCTAATTATATCTATCATTGCGTACAATCTAAAAAGAAAAAATCAACGAGTCCAAAACTAAGATCATAAACAAAGCCTTAATCCCACAGATGCAGTTGGCAGAACTATTAACAGGTGTTCAAACAAACTGTTGAAGAAGCAAAATCTGGAAGCTTCAAAGAACTATGGTAGATGACAAGATCGTAACTGATTGTTATATAACTTATGTCAGGAACAACAAATACTTCCTTTTGAAAGGATAGATCAAAGAAGAAATAAAAAATACAATTATGTGCAATTATGTCTAATTAGGTATTAATAATTGTAAGCTGTATTATGTGCAAAATATTATGCAGATGATTTAATTGAAGGATAAGATGGATGAGGATAAGAAAGATAGTTACTTAAATCCGGAAATTAGGATAAAATTCCAGAATAACTACCAATAGCTACTTCCTCGATTTGTACTAAATCCCATGGCTGTAAATGGAAGAGTATATATGGAAATCTTATCGAACTTTGAATACTTTCTTAATCAAGAGACCATGGAGTTCTCTCTAACAAGCCCCTACAATTATTCAAAATAGGTAAGGGAAGGAAAACTAAAAACACTCAAAAGTTTCTGCAGATTTTCATGTTAATCGCCCCATAGTTAGACCCTTCAGCAAGGATCTTCACAACTCACCTATCCCAATTGAACAAAACAATCAAAAGTTTTATTTCTTAAATTTAAATTTAAATAAAAATCACTCTCACCTGATGGAGCATAGGAGAATAAGTCCCACATTGAAAAGAAAAGAGTTCATTAGAGTGGCTCCCCACCTGTAAGTGAATATATTGAATGAATGAGCAAGCATATATCAATAAGAACCAAAAGACTGCCACCACAAAGATAATTACTTCATTGGATGAATTGTAATGAAAACTAATCTGAGCCCAAGCATCATCGCCCCAGCTATGACTGCAAGTAGAAGGTAGAAGCAGAAAAAAGCAAATGCTGCAGTACCCAGAAGACCTAGGGTGGTTCCAAAATATGCAAGCCAAATTAGATTAAAAAATTTAATAGAAAAAAGAGGAAATATAAAAACATTAAACCATACAGCAGAATTCAAAATATTACCCCAGACATCATCCAGCTTGATGAAAACCTCATTCAACAAAGGAGAAAGAGGAGGATCAACCAATAGATAAATGATAATATGAGCAACCCAAGCCACTGAAACAATCAACCTGTAAAGAAGCAGGGCGCAGATTGTAAGTCAAGAAGTTGTTCAAAAAAGTACCACGCATGATTCACACTTTATTTCCATGTGAAAGTTTAAAATCATCTTCTAGAATAAACAATTGTTTCCAATGCCATGTGCAGCAACAGAGAATTCCGATGAATTAGAGGAAGATAATAGAAGTAGAAGTGCTCACTACACATGGATCTTATCTTAGACCACTTAAACATATACTGAATAACCATTTCATATTTTCCAATATCACAGTCATCATCCTTTCCATGATTTTGAACTCTCATTGATATCAAACTTTTTTCAGTAGCTGCTCATTGTTCCACCAAGACAAATGCATAATGTTAATCATGTTATTTTACTAATATAAAATACTATATCTCCACAGGAAGAGTGAGAAATGGATTGAAAAACCAGATATGGCCTGACTAAATTCTCAAATTTATGTTAATATGAAGTTTTCTCTGTGTCATTATACCCAAAACCCAGCACTTACCCTAAGATTCCCAGAACAAGCTTTGCCAAATACCCAAGAACAGTCAAAGCCCAGGCAGTCTCTGCCTAAAAGGAGAGGAAGAAAAGAATATCAGTAATTGAACAAGACCAAAAATGTAAAGCTGCAATTCATTGTACTTAAAACTGTTGACTCGTTTTTATCATTACCTTTTCTCCTTGAGGGTACATCTCTTCTAAAAGTTTTACATCTTCCTCCAACTGAAGCAACTCCTGTAGGTAAAAAATTAAGGAAACAAGTTCAATCATCATAATGGAAATCAATAAGCATACCAACCAGATCTCCACCATGAAGTAAGGTATCAGTTACTAATGAGGAATTAGTTATTAATTCTAAAAGCTATATTCTAGAGTCTGAGCTGAGAAAGTGTCTCAAAATAAACCCATTAACCAAAGAGGAATATGAGTCAACAATCCTGTATTTGTATAATATAAAGGGCAGGTGCACGCATACATGCAACAGGATAAAAAAAAAGGGACGAAATTCCATGAATTTACCCCATCCTCTCGCCCAAACTTAAACTGTTTAGATTAAAATATAATAGAGTGAATATTATCTGATCAAGTGCAAAAGCGGCAATCGAAGTAAGACCTTGCAGAAACATGATAAATTTCTGAAACTCACAACTTAAACCAGGACCTCTCAAGATCCTTACAAGAAGTGACATAAATAATATGTACAACAAATCCATTCTCGGAATACAAAAGAAACTCCAAATGCAATTAGCAAAATTTTACAATTTCACACTACCTTTTCCACTGATTTCACATTTTTGCGCCATTTTCTGCCCTTAGCACCACCTCTTTCTTCCTGATGAAGAGCATCAGCTGCTTTCTTCAATTCTCTAGCTTTTTTCCCCAACTCAGTTGCTTCCTACAAAAATATCGAAGGACATTTCCCATGACTATCTAACACATAATTTCATATGGCACAGGACAAGGCAATGACCAAGCACCTTAATATATTGGGAACGAGTTATAACAGCTTTTGGACGCCTGATAAATGAAAATATAAGTCCGAGTGGCAGGCAAGCAATACCAACACCACCAAAAATCTGCAAGATATCTAGAGAATAGTGAGTAGTTTCTCCAAAGATAAAAAAGGTTGAGACAATTACAAACTACCTTATGCTTTTTCCTAGAAAATGTAAGTGAGATATGTCTCCCCCAACCTCAACCAACCCCAAATAGTTGCTACTGGACTTCAACACCATAGCCAACATTTTAAACGATTGTTACAGGCAATGCCAAAGTAATAACAATAACATCTTACCTTTAAAAAGTGCAAGTACATCCAATACAATATATAGATTCAAAAACCGAAATTAAGGTTTCCAATAAATGGCCATAACATTTCTCCCAAAAGGAAAAAAAAGAAAAAAAGAAGGAAATGGTCATACTGAGAAAAGCACGGATCCAACAATAGTAGCAAGAGCAACAACATATTCAGGAAAAGTAGTGCGCATTGTCCATGTTTTCTCTGATGAAGGAGAAGCAGCAAAGGCAGAGCACTGTAAGCAAAAAAGGAAGAAAAGATAACAGACACCAAATGGATCAGCTCAAGGATGGCTACTTATGACAAACCAGATGATAAGCTGACATCATAGAAGTAAGCATTGATAAAAAGTAGAAAATAGATAAATGGAATCATAACCTGGCCACTACCACTGCTAATACATGGTCGAGTACTAGAAAACTCCCAAGTAGTAGGAAAGGAAGTTGTGGCTGAAGAGAGGTGCCTAACAGTAAAGTCCACCTTCCCAATTAGACCTAAAACACCATAAAAGATCCAGTGAGATGGAAAACATAAGAGCTTTATATCTATTGTAGAGAATACACATGTTTTCAAGCAAAAGAATTTGGTAACAGATATCTTATTGGATATGGAAGACATCTTTGATCTTTCATTGTTTTCATTGTTTACTATATTTTCTAGTTAAAACATCGAAGTAATTCAAGTTTTCTTTTCCAAAGAAAAAGCATAGTATTAACAAGAACAAAGAAAATGTAACTGTATACACAAGTTTTATGAGTCTATCAACATATCAACCAAGTACTCTAAGTCCTCCCTGCTGTAAAGAGGATGGTTCTTTACCAAAAAAAATAAATAATAAGAGTTCGGGATCAAGAATCCTTAATGCTAACAAAAGAACAGTCAATGCCCTCAAAAACTCTTCTATTTCTTTATTTCCAAAAAATCATAGGATGACCAGAGTGATAATTCCTAAAGTCTTGTTATATCTTTTATCCCTATGGATGCCTCCATACATTCTATTTCCAGCATCCCCCATTTACTTCAATGCCATGCTTTTAAGCACAGTTTCTTAACGCTGTTCTAGCTTGAACCCCAGGGGGCTTGAAAGAACATCAGTCATGTCGGTTTAATGGTTCTGGGAGTGCTCAATAGTAGCTCTTTAGAGAGATTCTATGTGTCATATATCTATTTTTTTGAAAAACCTATCTCTTCCCTCCCTTGCTCTTATCTAATCTAAGCCCTACAGTTTCTTGGATCCCAAAAGAGTTCTGGCTTATAGGCAAGGAGGGGCATAGCGGAAGACCAACCCAATCTCGACAAAGAAAGAGAAAGACAAATAACTTAATCAAAAACATCCTTTACGAAAGATGTTTAAGAACACTAAAGTAAGTCGTGATCTTATATACGATACCACTGGTCAAACTAGATCGTTGGCCCAAGCTATGGAAACTCCCCAGTTTTCATGCTCTTTGGTCATTCTTTTATTCACCCCGTAGAATTATAAGCCAAAACCCAAAGCCTATAGGAAACATGGCACGAAAGAAGGAGGTATGATAACTTTGCTTCTCTCGTACAAAAGAGACATTCATTCACAATGGTCTTCACCCTCTTGATCAAGTTGTCTATGGTTAGGATGCAATCTCTTGGCTCATCCCAAGCAAAAAAAGCAACCTTGGGAGATGCTTTGATTTCTGTATCAGTTTCAGTGAGAACTCTCCTAAGGTCCTTTTCGCATGTGGCCAAATGGGAGGCTGAAAAGGTCCTTTCAAGCTAAGTTTCCACATTGGCTCATCCGCAGCTTCAGAAAGGCTTCCTCTTTGTGATAGACATTGGATTAAACTGGCATACTCACTTACCTCCGAATCATTGAGTTTCCTCGTCAAATGCACCAACCAACCCCCATTAACCCTTGCAAAAGAGAAGGAATATGCCACTATGATGCTCTAACTTTGCCCCTTTCCATCCATTCATCCGACCAAAACCTCACATTTTAACCAAACCCCTGCTCTTTGAAGGTTCCCTGCTAAGCTTATTAAAAATGCTCTGTCTTTTGATGTAATTTCAAGTCAACCTCCATGCAATAAATCCTGAAACTCTTATTTTTCAATTCCAATCTTCTTCCATAATCTGACACCATAAGTCTCAAAATTTTTGGGAGCCGCCCCAAGTTGTCAATGCCAAACTTCGCTCTAATCACACTCCTTCGAAGGTCACCCTACTCAGTCATGAATCTTTAGAGCCACTTTCCTTACAAGGCTTTGTTAAACTCTAACATTGACCTAATACCTAGGCCACCCCTCTCATATAGGACTTTAACTAAACTTCATGCCATAAGTGATAACTCCTCTTCTCATTTGAGCCACCTCATAGAAAGCTACATTAGATAGCTTGTAACCTCTTTGACCAAACTTATTGGAATGGTTAGGATCGATAGGTAGTAAATAGAGATGTTTGCAAGTGTATTCTTTATGAGTGTCAATCTCCCCCTTTTGGATATAAATTCCTCTTCCGTCCTACAAGTCTTTGAATTTGGCACCCACGGGTAAGTCCAAATACTACATAGGAACTGCAGCTTCTTTATTCCACAAGTCTTTGAATTTGGCACTCAGGAGGAAGCCCAAAAGTAGCATAGGAACTGCAGCTTCTTTATTCTACAAGTCTTTGAATTTGGCACCAGGGGTAAGCCTAAATGCTACATAGGAAGTGCAGCTTCTTTATTAAAGTTTTTCAAATCAGAAAACCTTGTTTTATTATACTGAAGAAAGCTCAACGAAATCAAATTGTTCTTTGTTCCATTTTCTAAAAACTCTATAGTGAACCTTTTTTAAGTTCTTACACAAAACTATGAAGACTATCAATTATGAAAAAACAGAAAATGAGAAAAGCTAGAAAAAATTTCCTACTAAAGGACTATCGAAGAAATGAACAACAAAATCGAAGCTCTTCACTCAACAATGATAAAGACCACTAAATGCCACTTAAGGATTGATATAATGCATTCTTGCAATCATAATCACAACAGCTCAGTCAGTAGTTAGTCACCACCCTTCAAACAATTAAGTTCACGACATGGTACTGATCAAGGTAATTAACTTTCTTGTCTCAGATCATAAAAAGCTTAATGACCTTCATATGGCATGTCAACAAAATACCGTAGCTACTCCTAGCCGTATCACCTTGCAGCTAAAATTCTTTCAAAAGTAAAAATTTTGGGACTTAGTACTAGAGAGAGAGAGAGAGAGAGAGAGAGAGAGAGAACAGAAATTAATAACAAGATGAACTAACCATATAAAATGCCAAGGACAAGCGCGCAAACAATTGCCGTCGTCACCACCCACAACAAGGCGCTCTTTATTCTCTTTCCCACGCTCCTGCAACCCAAAACCTCACATCAATTACTACACTTCGATTCTCATGTAACAACAAAATACGTATAAAAGTATAAATACACGCATTATAACAGTGCACGTGTACGTCGATGCAAGCGCGCATATATGAATACGAGAAAAATGGTAATAAAACCCTAGTAATACGTACTTGTCCTGGTCGCCTTCGTAGTAAAACATAGCGAAGGGAATAATGAAGAAAACAAGCACAGCGTCAACTATGTAGACAGCGAGCCACAGATCTTTCATTGGCAAGGTGAGATTACAAGCGCCATTGTATATCGCATGCCTACAAGCCTGCCGATTCGCTACGTCAGCTGGTAACATCAGGATGGAAATTGCAGCGATTGACAGCCCCAAAACCACAACGATTTTGGGAAAGTACGCCTGGTTGGCATCATCTGGGTGCTGGAAATTGACGAGGAGGTAGACATTGAAAAGAAATACAATAACGCACACAACTATAGCGACAATCACGAGAGCGAGATTAAAATCGCCCATCGTATAAGCTCTCGACTCGAACCGATCGAGAGATAAAGAAGGAGTAAGTGGGAAAATAGGGTTCTTTGGTTAAAATCTGATAGATCTGCCCTTGTTGATTTTCGAAAACCAGAGAAGAAAAGGAGGAGAGAGAGAGAGAGAGAGAAAGAGAGAGAGTTTTGGCTCCGGTGAGGGGTCGAATGGAGTGTTGATGGATGAAATGACTATATTACCCTTATTAATTAATTTATTGATGGGTGAAGTTAACGATGGAGATCAGTTGCCTAAGAGGTTTAAGTGTAATTTGATATTGATCCTTGCAAGTATGAACAGCCTGTCCCAGAGTTGGATTGTAAGAATTAGAGAATAGCTCGTATTCTCCGCGTCGTCGAAGCGGGATTCATAAAGAAAAATGGAATGGTTGAAACGGCGGCGTATGACTTGTTCTCAGGGTTTTCTTTTTTTAATTTTTGTTGAAAATTTATATTTGAGATTTTAGTTAACTTATATTTTATTATTTAATTGTTGCATTCATATTTACTTTTTTTTTTTATTTTGATAAAATTAATTTTTTATTAGATTGGGAAAAATAAAGAAAAATAGATAAAATGGTGAGATGTTCACTTTTTTCACTTGTTTAAGTAAAAAATAATGAATTGTGAGCATCTAAATTATGATTTTAAGGTGTATAAAAATTAAGAGAAAATAAATGACTTAAAGAAAAGTTATTCTATCCTTAAAAGTTAATTTGATATTCTATTACTTAATTGCATTATTGACTATTTCTGGTAACAAATTATTTTTTTCATTTTATAAAGTTAAACTAAATAAAATTATAATAATTTTTTTAAAAAAGATTTTAGCTATCCAATCAATCCGAATATTTTTTTCTTTCTTATAGAAACTATTATTGCCTTTTATTTTTTTGTCTCTATATTATTTCACTAATTTTTTTTACTATATATAATGTGAATACATATTTGAGCATCTCTAGCAACTAATAACACTTATTTATTATGTTCAATTAAGTAACTAATGTTTTTAATAATTTTTAGTTGATAAATTTTGTTAAGTGTTTATTAAACATAATTATTTCTTTTGTTACGTGGTAGGTCATGTTATAAAAAATTACCACATAAATTCTTATATTATCATTAAATTACCACCCAATTTCTAAAACTTATATAAGTATTTAGTATAGACGCATTATAAAAAAAATAAATTTCTACAAAAATAAAGTATTTGAAAAGCTGAAAGATTATCTATAAATAATGAATTATATGAGACTATTAACAGCTAGATAATCGAAAAAACAATTAAAGCGAGACAATAGTCAATGATGGAATCAAATTTATTGATGAACTACATGAGAGTATTAATAGTAAAATAATCAAGAAAAAAATCAAAGCGAGACACACAATGAATAATCAAATTCATTGTGTGTCTTTAACTTTATTCTTGATTTGAAAACATCTTTAACTTATTATGACGACAATCAAAATGCTCTCACTCTAACTGTACATTCTCTAATCTCTTTATTAATCTTTGTGATGTGTCATTGTTGTCTAATGATATTCTTAACATCTTATTTAATATTTATTTCTCATGGAGTTCATAAATCATAAGCATCATTCTCTTATTCATTTCTTTTTTCTCATTTTGTTTCTTGGATATCTTTTTATTTTTAATTTTATTTTTCCTATTTTTTTATCTTATTTCCTTGATGGGTACGGTCTTTATTCTTTCATGTGATTGTTGACAATTAATATCATTTTTTTAGAAATATTTAAAATGATAAAAGACATTCATTTGTCGCTCAGTAGGTGATTTTATTTCATGATTGTTTCTTATAAGCACCGAGAGCTTTTATTATATTATATATTATCAAATTTATCTAACCAGTGATTCACTTTATTTTGTCTGGTCAAATTTGTCTCTCACAAATAAGTCAGTTGATTCTTAAAACTTCAACAAGGCATCAAATTCCTGAACAAAAACATAGGAGGATTAGGAAAATATGATATAAAAGGAATAAATGTATAATACTTCATAATACATTGTAAAATAATTGAAAATGTCTTATCAAATACATTAATGTAAGTAAAGAGTTCGTCTTTAATTTTTGATGTTGTAGGTGTACGGGTCAATCAAAGGAATGATTATAGAAATTGAGAAAGATTTAAGGTCTAAACACTAGATGATCATTCATTAAGTATCCGTACATCGACATCAATTAATTTTTTTTTCAATGATTATCTGCATACAAGGTATATAAAGTTCCAAACAAAAAATTAGACATCTTCTTAGGAACATTCCACAGTTCATTGAGTCCGTTTGATATAGATCAATGAAATCAATTGCACTTTGAGCTTGGGGTTAAAAATAACTTAAATGAAAGAAACAAGACTGAGTTGGTTAGATTTTAAAGGCAGTTTGACAAAAATAGGCTCCACATTGTTGTCAAGTCATATCACATTTAAATTTATCATCTTTTTTTTCTTTTCCATTATCTTCTTTTTCTTTTTAATTACAATTTAACTTTTATCATGCAATTGGCTTAATTATTTCTCAAAATATGAACAATTTTTTTAACTAACCCATAATCCATAAGTGATAAGAACTACAAAACTACTTATTTATCAAAATATCAAGAAATTTCACTTGATATGAATCAAGTTCATTAAGCCATTTTTATACAAGATCTTGAAGATATTTGTCTTAGTAAACCACAAAGCACTTAAGTTGTTAGGATCCCTCAGATCATGACTCAAAAGTGGGTTTTTAATAGTATAGGTGTTTTTTTTTCTCATCTTATCTAAAGAATTAAGTAACCCCATATCATTCATGTCTTAGATTTTGTACTTTGCTATTAATAAATGGTGTATAATGACCCATTATTCCTCCATTGAAGTCATAGTTGGCATTTGGTCTTATTAGCAAGATAGTTGATAGAGATCAAGGTAGCACAAATCATAATACGCCGCATGAGAGCTCACTGCCATATAGGAGCTCACCACCACATAATAGCATAAGGCCACAAGGGAAATCATGACTACATGAGCTTCAGAGATCACAATTACATGAAAAGAGATCAAGATACAACTCATAAAGAAGCTCGTCAAGCCACAACTCGTGAGGAAGCCTATCCACATGGGGGTGACCATAGATGGACCAAACTCAAGAAGCACTTGGGCTGTATAGATAAAATATCATTATGTCAAGTGGACCTATCATAAGATCATGGGTTAAGAAACTCAAGCAAGACATTCAAATGTATGTTCAATGATGGATCCATTAAAAAAGAATTCATGGAACAAATTTAGAGGGCCTTAAAAGATGGAGGTCGAATCTATTAAACCAACGGGAAAGGCAACCAACCACTCCCTTACAAATCATGAACTCTCGACCAAATTGATCCATAAGGATTCTTAATGTTTTTCAATTCATCATAGTCAGCCAACAAGAAGTCCTATAACTCATGATGTTCGTTCAAACCTTCTACAAACAATCAACCATTATTATCCTTAGGAGGCCCTCTCTCAAGAAAAAAATTATTAACTAATCTCAAACTTTTGTTTTTTAATGGTATTGTTTTGCTAAGCATTTTATCAAAGAAAGTAGGATTAGTGAAACTCCTACATAAGAAGTATCCAACTTAGGGACAAATCATTTTTAAAAGGAAAGAGATGATGTGAACATGGATTTGGACCATAAAGAGAAGACTCAATCCAAAGGAAGAGAAAAACAAGCCCAACAATAATGGTTCTTACATCTTAATCCAAGTGGAAGAGGGAATCAAGCAAAAAATGTAAGAGCGTATGGTCATAAAGAGAGAGATCTTCCAAACCATGAAAATGAAAAATTCCCATGAGATTTTCCTTTCTAATCTCACGAAAATCTTCCTCTTTAAGAGGAGTGATCGACCAAAGGGGAAAAATATCTTTTAAAACCACAAAATATGTTAAGAAAGGAAGACTCTTCAAAGAACCAAATCGGGCGGAAAAAGAAAGATTTAGGTGGCTATAATGCTCTTTTAATGGCCAGCTCTAAACTTCAATTCATTCTTCCCCTAATTCTTCTACAATTAATTAAGATCATCTCTATTTTAAAAAAGAGATCATATCTATCATATTTTAAAAAATAATCTTTTTAATTGTTGTAATTTTTTTATTATATTCTACATTTATTTTCCTATATAATTTTGTCATTAATTTAGGAGATTGTTTTTTTTTATTCATATGGCTTACGCTATAAATAGGTCATCAATTGACAGATTCAAATTCAATCAATATATTACAAAGTTTATTTCAACTAGTAAGATATCTTCAACCTTTTTGTTGAGGAAGGAGTTGGATCAACCTATTAAGGTATGCCTTGTGATGGTTTTTCCTATTCATATTCTTTTAATTTCCCAAAGATCTAAGTTCCTACCACTTTATTGATAGTGAGTTAAGTAATGAGAGTTTTCATAGGATTTTAAGTCTTTGATGCTTTATGGGAATTGTGTGAGTTTTATATCACACCATTGATCTTGGGTTTTGCATCATGAACTTTATTTGATTGATTATTTAATAAATGTAACATTTATAAAAGGGCTTATTTATAGGCAAAATCAACGAGAGTTTTAATAGAAAAAGATTACTTTAAAGTATGACTCTTAGCTAATAACAAAGACTTCTTGATAACAACTATTACTAGGTGATAAGACCATAATTTACACATGACTAAATACATTTTAAATACTCTTTACTCTTGGACGAAAGAAGGATAAATTGTAAGGACTATTAAGTGATGTGAAGTTGTCTATCTTATAGAAGAGTGCCTCAGTAATGACTTTTAACTTGATAGGAATTTTGGTTTTTGTAGATAAGTTAAACTCCAACCAAGCTGTTGTAGTAGAAGAATTCTTATTTTTTATTAGATTGAGGATGATAGGTTAAAAATCTTCCATGGAGAGCGATCAATTTTCAAGTGTAATACATGAGATCTAAAACTAAGCATTTCTGTATAGTAACATTCTCTTTTCATATTGTTCAATCCTTCATTTCTTTCGGACTTTATGGAGTTTTGAGTTGCTGTTGATCTTTGAATACCTAT